AGAGCAGCGCCTACTTAAAATATAAAGGTACCTCACAATCAGAGTGTAAAATAATTTTGGGTTATCCTAAATCTTCAAAGTACTCTCATTTTTTGTCCAAATACTGAAGACAGAAGTCTAATTTCTAATAACTAGACCTCCAGCTTCCAGTCCACATGTAAAGAGCTTAGAAGTTGTAGGCTGGGTGCTATGGCTCACACCTGTAATCCCAGCACTTTGGGATGCCTAGGCGAGTGGATCACGAGGTCAAGAGATCAAGACCATCCTGGCCAACATGGTGAAACCCTGTCTCTACTAAAAAAACAAAAATTAGCTGGGTGTGGTGGTGGGCACCGGTAGTCCCAGCTACTCAGGAGGTTGAAGCAGGAGAATCGCTTGAACCCTGGAGGCAGAAGTTGCAGCGATTCGAGATTGTGCCACTGTACTCCAGCCTGGTGACAGAGCAAGACTTTGCCTCAAAAAAACAAAAAATAAATAAAAATGAAAAAACACACACAAAAAACTTGGAAGTTGTCAGTCCTGTCCTCACAACAACAACTAAAAGGAGCTAAAGAACTCAGAATCCATCACAGAATTGAAGTGGCAGGGTAAACTGTCATCCCAAAAGCTGGAATGATAGGCTGCTACAAAGAATCAAAGCTTATCAGAAACAGGAATTGCCTGCATGGAGTAGGGATACTTTAAGGGTATTGGATTAGTTGCTAGAGATAGAATGTGGACTAGCTTTAGAATTTAATACCTTTGGGCTTGCACCCTGGTATGAGTTTTGCCTCTAGGAGCCCACTAGATTCTTGCAATGAAGACCTGATTTAAAAAATATGTGTGTGTGTGTGTGTGTGTGTGTGTGTGTGTGTGTGTGTGTGTGTGTATCCTTATTCTGGCCAGGCATGGTGGCTCACACCTGTAATCCCAGCACTTTGGGAGGCCAAGGCAGGTGGATTATTTGAGGTCAGCAGTTCGAGATCAGCCTGGCCAACATGGTGAAACCCCATCTCTACTGAAATTTTAAAAATTAGCCAGCATAGTGGTGTGTGCCTGTAATCCCAGCTACCCAAAAGCCTGAGGCAGAATTGCAGGAACCCAGGAGGCGGAGGCTGCAGTGAGCTGAGATCACACTACTACACTCCAGCCTGGGTGACAGAGGCTCCTTCCAAAAAAAATTATCAGGGGTGCTAAGAAGCAAAATACACAGACTGAAGAGACAGGGCAAGCATCAAAACCAGACTCAGATATGGTAGAGGTTTCGGAATTATTCAGACCAGAAACTTAAGGGCTTTAATGGAAAAAGTGGACAACATACAAGAACAGATAGGTAATGTAAGAATAGAGACCAAAACTCTTAAGAAAGAAAAGATAATACCAGAAATAAATATAACAGAAATGAATGCCTTTGGTAGGCTCATTAATATACTGGACACAGCTGAGGAAAGAATCAGTGCGCTTGAAGATATGTCAGTAGAAACTTCCCAAGCTGAAAATCAGAGAGAAAAAAGACCAGGGACAAAGTAGGGGTAACGGGCAGGGACCACCAGGGAAAGGAACAGAATATCTAAATAGGGACAGTTACAAAAGGCAAATCATATGCATAATGGGAATACCAGATGAAGAAGAAAGAGAAGAAATATTTGGAGTAATAATGGCGGGAGATTTTACAAAATAATTGACAGGAAACCATAGGTCCAGGAAGCTCAAAGAACACTAAGCAGGATAAATACTTCCCCCCACCCCCAAAAAGAAAAAAACTATACCTAGGCATAATACATTCAGATGTAGAAAATAAAAGACAAAGAGAAAATCTTTGTCATTTCAGATAATAAAAAAACAAAAACCCACCTTACAACAAAAAGTCATACTCTACAAAATAAACAGGCTTAATCTGAGCCAAATATGAGTGACCAGGGCCTGAGTCACAGTCTCAAGAAGTCCTGAGAAAATGTGCCCAAGGTGGTTAGGTTACAGCTTGATTTTATACATTTTAGGGAGACAGAAGTTATAGGCAAACATCAATTAATACATGTAAGGTATACATTCATTCGTTCCAGAAAGATGGGACAACTTGAAGTAAGGGCTTTCAGGTCATGGGCAGATTCAAAAGCTTTTTTGATTAGTAATGGGTTGAAAAAGTTGTAATCTAGGCCGGGCACGGTGGCTCACGCCTGTAATCCTAACTTTGCGAGGCCGAGGTGGGTGGATCACCTGAGGTCAGGAGTTCAAGACCAGCCTGGCCATCATGGTGAAACCCCATCTTTTAAAGAAAAAAAAAAAATTATAATCTAAAGGTCTGGAATCAGTGTTGAAAGGAGTGTCTGGCTTTAGATAAGGGATTGTGGAGACTAACGCTCTTATGTAGATGAAGGCTCCAGGTAGCAGGCTTCAGGGAGAATAGATGGTAAATGTCTCCTGTCAGACCTTAATAGATACCGTACTCTTAGTTGAATCTCTCCTGGATCAGAAAAAGACCTGGAAAGGGGAGATTCTCTACAGAATGGAGATTTTCTCCAAAAGAGATGACTTTTCAGGGCCATTTCAAAATAAGTCAGAGAAATATATTTTGAGGTAAAATACTCTGATTTATTTCAGGGTCTGTTATCTGTCATGTGATACTGTACTAGAGTTGGGTTGGAATTTGGTATCTTATTTCTACAGGGAGTTCATTTTATCAGTCTTAAGATCTCTGTTTTAATGTTAATATTGGTCAGTTGTAGCCAGGTGTGGTGGCTGATGCCTGTAATCCAAGCACTTTGGAGGCCAAGGTGGGCGGATCACCTGAGGTCGAGAGTTCAAGACCAGCCTGACCAATATGGTGAAACCCCGTCTTTGAAAAAAAAAAAAAATATATATATATATATATATATATATATATATATATATATAGATCAGGTGTGCCTGAATTCTTTTTTTTTTTTCCCCAGGCGGGGGAGCGGGGGAAGGACGCAGGGATGGGAGCTCCTGAATTCTTAAGGGTGGAGAATATAATGAGGCATGTCCAATCCCCACTTCCTGTCATGGACCAAACTAGTTTTTCAGGTTTACTTTGGAATTCTCTTGGCCGAAAGAAGGAGTCCATTCAGTCGGTTGGGGGAGCTTAGAATTTTATGGTTGGTTTACATTACCTATAGAGGAACAAGGATAAAAATTATGCTGGACTTCTCTTCAGAAACCATGTAAGTAAAAAAAGAGTGGAATGAAATAAGCATGTTAAAAGAAAAAAGAACAGCAACCTAGAATTCTGTATCCAACCAAATTTCCTTCAAACATGAGGAATAGATTTTTTACACACAAAAAAATTGAGGGAATTTATTGCCAATAGACCTTAGTTAGAACATTAAGAAAGGTTAAAAGAAGTTCTGCAGAGAGAAGGAAAATGATAGAGAAAATCAAACTGACGTAAAGAAAGGAAGGGTGTTTGAGAAGGAATACACAAATGTAGAATAATCTAACAATCAAAAACTGGAAATCATAGAATGTCTTCTACCAAACCAGCGTGTTTAGAATTCAGTTTGGTAGCTAGTTTCTTTCCATCATTGTAGCTCTCTTCTATTGCTACTAACCAAAAAAACAAGATCAAGGAAAACAAAAATGTCATGACAATGAGAAAAGTGACACATTGTATGATTTGATTTTCATTTAAGATCTAGTCTAGGTGAAGATGGAGGTGAGGGGACTGATTTCTTCCACCTACCCTGCTATCCTGTGCCTTTGAGGCACACTTATTCAAATATTCATTGAAATAAATCAATTTTTACTACGTTGTTGGAGTTGAACAAATTAGTTAATTCCCCTCCCTTTGATTGCTGTTTGTTGAGTCACTCTGTCATTAATACTGAAAATCAAACTTATGTAAAGAAAGGAAGAATGTTTGAGAATAGAATTTTATTCTGTTAATTGTTTTGTTATTTATTTTATTTCTATTATTTTATTCATAGTTTGATGAACAGTTTTCTAAAGCAGAGATTATTAGCACACTGTGGCCCACCCCTGTTTTTGCAAATGAGGTTTAATTGGAACATAGTCATGTTTGTCATTTAGATCTTGTACTGTTTATGAATAGTGTATTGCTTGTTACGTGTTGTGTCATTGATATAGCTGCTTTTGTTTTACAATAGCAAAGTTGGGTAGTTGCCACAGGCATCATTTGGCCAGCAAAATCTGAAATATTTACTACGTGAACCTCTATAAAAAAGTTTGCCCATCCTTGTTCTAAAGCAGTAAAGGGGATACTAATTTATAAAAATCAGCATCTTTCCATCTTTTTTTCTTATGCTACTCTGAGCATTGTACAAACTAAATAGTGTAAGGTCATTTTAAAAACCGACCTCAATAACTGTCTGAGGATAATAAATTGGTCCTCTTTTTCTTACAGTTGAGCAGATCATTGGTGTTAAAATCCCACAACACTTGGAGCTTACCAAAGTAGAAAAGTGGCCAGGTGTGGTGGCTCATGCCTGTAATCACAGCACTTTGGGAGGCTGAGGCAGGTGGACCACTTGAGATCAGGTGTTTGAGACCAACCTGGCCAACATGGTGAAACCCTGTCTCTACTAAAAATACAAAAATTAGCTGGTGGTGGTGGCGAGTGCCTGTAATCCCACTACTTGGGAGGCTGAGGCAGGAGAATTGCTTGGAGGTGGAGGTTGCAGTGAGCCCAGATTGTAGCACAGCACTCCAGCCTGGGCAGCAGTGAGAAAGACACCATCTCAAAAGAAAAAAAAGTGACCAAGCTTCAGAATGCCTGCTTATGTGGAGTTTGTGGTTCTGGCAGGAACAATTTATTTCTCCCATTCTACCCAGCAGCTGGCTAGAACGTAAACATGTAAACATAGTGATAAAATACCCTACAGTATCCCCAAGGGAGTTGTTTGTAACTTTTCAGTACAATGCATAGATTTATCTCAAACCTACTGTGTCAGACATTGTACTAAATGCGGGGCTACAGGATGAGTAAGACAATCATTGCTTGTAAGGTGTTTACAGCCTTAGGATAGTTAACTGCTGTTTACCTTAAAGAGAAACTTATTTCTTCATCACAGCAGTGAAGTTGGGCTACATCTTGGACCCTAATCAGATATCTGTTTACTTCTGAGAGAGTCTATAAAATCAAAAACAAAATTGGAAGCACATATAAATTTATTTTAAACAAAAAAATCTCACTACTATGAATCATTTTATATCCCATAATATGCAAATGTAAACTAAAACACAGTTCAAGTATGAAGAAGTTAATGTTTTCACTGTTTATGAAACAGGTTTTCTTAGAATATTGACAAAGAAAACTATATTTAAGGGAAAATAATTTTTTTCAAAGTTTTAAAACTACTGAATTTATAGTTTTAGTTGTAAGTGCTTTCTTTTGTTGGTGGGCGGCAGTAAGTGCTTTCCTAATGTCAAAAACAAAGTTGGGTGTTGGGGGATAAGAAGGAAGCTATTGGCCAGGCGCGGTGGCTCACACCTGTAATCCCAGCATTTTGGGAGGCCGAGGCGGACAGATCACATGATCAAGAGATCAAGACCATCCTGGCCAACATGGTGAAACACCATCTCTACTAAACATACAAAAATTAGCCGGGCATGGTGGCACGCGCCTGTAGTCCCAGCTACTCGGGAGGCTGAGGCAGGAGAATTGCTTGAACCCGGGAGGCGGAGGTTGCAGTGAGCCAAGATCACAGATTACGCCACTGCACTCCAGCCTGGTAGCTGACAGCAGAACAAGACTCTGTCTCAAAAAAAAAAGAAGGGAGCTATTAAGAAAAAGAAGTGATCAGGCTTGGTGTCTCATGCCTTTAATCCCAGCACTTTGGGAGGCTGAAGCAGGTGGATCACCTGAGCTCAGGAGTTGGGGACCAGTCTGGCCAACATGGTGAAACCCTGTCTTTACTAAAAATACAAAAAAATTAGCCGGGTGTGGTGCTGCGCACCTGTAGTCCCAGCTACTTGGGAGGCTGAGGCAGGAGAATTGCTTGAACCCTGGAGGCGGAAGTTGCATTGAGTTGAGATCGTGCCACTGCACTCCAGCCTGGGCAACAGAGTGAGACTCCATCTCAAAAAGAAAAAAGAAAAGAAAAAGAAGTGAACAAATTGGTATGGAATAAGAAGTCAGGCCTTTATATTGATCTAGTCATGGGGATGATCTCTTGGTGTGAACAGTGATTCAGAGAGAGAGTTTTGTAGACTCTGAGAATTCCAAAAATTTGGATCTTTGCAATCCAATCAACCTCAATTATCTTTCCCTACAAAATGTGCAGGTCAAAATTATGACAAAACAACTTCATCTTGCTTCCCCAATTTGACCAAATAAAAATAACATTTCTAATCAACTGATACTTTAATTCAACATAACTCACACCCTGAGATCCTCCTATGTGCCAGACACAAGAAGGCAAGTAAATCATAGCTCACACATAATGAAGCTCCTAGTTTCATGAATAAAGGATTGCAGTAAAATGTAACAGGGTTATTCAGGATGCAAAATCCCTAGGAAGAAGCCACTCACAGATGGAAGTGCTGGGGGAAACTTTGCAAAGGAGATGATGATTGAACTAGATTTTTATAGAATGAATAGGAGTTTAGCCAGTGGAATAGGAAAGGCAATTTCAGAAAAGAAAGAGTATGTGTAAAGAACAGATGTGTGAGGAGAGGTTAACATTAGAGAATGATGAGTAGATCTGTGTGGTATGGTTATAAGGAAGTCGGAAACTGTAAGTGATAAGGGAGGGTGGGGCCAGATTATATTCTATAGGTTAACAGGTAGCTAACACAGGCCTTCCACAGCTTCTTCAGATACCATCAGTGTGCAGAATCCTGCACCAGGTACTATGTGCAGGGAGATAGAAAACAAGAAGAACACATGGCCCCTTTCCTCAAAGGGCATTGTGATCATAGTAATAAAGGAGCAAAGAATGCTGAAAAGTTATGGGATCCGGGCAAGCTCACTGTGCCTCTTTTTATGAAGCAACCTTGCAGATAAGAATGTGAAATGGAAGAGCATGGTAGTGCCTGGCATGTAGCAGGCATTCCACAAATGGTAGCTGCCTTGGGATCTGTAGGTCTTCTTTTGCCAATGACTGGAGGTTGTATTCATGAGCATGAGATACAGCAAGTTCCTAAGAATACATACAGGGCATCCCCAGACGATTCTCTGTATATCTGACAGATGATCCTTCAAATTGATGTTTTGCTTCATCTATGGGAAAAAAGTACTTTTAGGCAAACAAAAATGGTGACGTTTTTATTCATAAAAGAAATAGATTAAAATATTTTATGGCACTTGATATAGGGCTTGGTATTTTCACATGTTATAATAGAAAGTTTCAAATTTCTGGGCCAGGTGTGGTGGCTCACACCTGTAATCCCAGCACTTTGGGAGGCCAAGGTGGGTGGATAGCTTGAGCTCAAGGTTTCAAGACCAGCCTGGGCAACATGGTGAAAACCTGTCTCTACGAAAAAAAAAAAAGCCAAGCCTGGTGATGTGTGCCTGTGGTCCCAGCTACTCCAGGGGCTGAGATGGGAGGATTGTTTGTACCAGGGAGGCAGAGGTTGCAGTGAGCCGAGATCGTACCACTATACTCAAGCCTTGGTAACAGAGCCAGACCCTGTCTCAAAAAAAAAAAAATCCAGTTTTTTGTACCCAGTGTTTTAAAACAAAGGCAAGTGACAAAACTGTATGCAAAAAAGTATCTTCACGGAAAAAATGTGTTAGTAGTTTACATTCAGCCTGTTTACAGTATGCACAATAAAATATTTTCAGAATGATAGTACTGTACTCCAAACTACTTAATTACTTCCTCAGAGAATAATTATGACCATTGTACTCACTAAGGCAGGAAAGCTAATTAATGCTTTGAAAGTACTTTCAGAAACAAAGGGTTTTTTTTTTTTTTGCCTTTTAGTTATGTAAAAAAAAAATCAGTCCTAGTATTTCATTCTTCAAACTTACATAAAAATTTCATTGTAGGCTGGGCACGGTGGCTCATGCCTGTAATCGCAACACTTTGGGAGGCTGAGGTGGGTGGATCACAAGATTAGGAGATCAAGACCATCCTAGCCAACATGGTGAAACCACGTCTCTACTAAAAATACAAAAAAAATTAGCTGAGCGTGGTGGTGCATGCATGTAGTCTCAGCTACTTGGGAGGCAGAAGCAGGAGAATTGCTTGAACGCAGGATGCAGAGGTTGCAGTGAGCTGAGATTGCGCCACTGTACTCCAGCCTGGTGACAGAGCGAGACTCCATCTCAAAAAAAGAAAAAATTGTACGAAGATCTGAAAACATTGTCTCATGTTGCTTGGCTTAGAATAGATGCCCTTAGTGTTGGAAATCACTGAACACAACTATTGATTTAGCATTAAGAGAATGAAAGACTTCGAAGCAAAGAACACCACAAGAAGATAAGGTATCTAGGATCTCTGAGTGGGAGTATCACAGAAGCACTGTAACATTTTTAAGGACACAGATTCTTATCAGCAACAAACCTGATCTATATAATCTTTATATTTTTTGATTTGGTCAATTGCAGTGGTCAAGTCCCCCCGGTCAACATGCTCAGCAGGAGTATGAAGCCTGACAGCATAGAGAAGATTAAGGTATTCTTCAAATCTTCGTGATGGGTACAGCAGCAGCTCTGGCAGACTGTACAAGGCATAGAGAAGAGAACTCTGGTCTCTGAAGGCCCAAGAATACCCTGTCTGGGGGCAGGGGGATGGGGGGGACCTGCTCTGCTCTCCCTCAGAACATACCTCAGCATTTTGGTAGCAATGGTCTTATCATGCCTCTTCAGGAAAGTTCGGAAGGCTGGTATCATTTCTCTGCACTAAAAGGTGAGGATTATATTGTCAAAACTTTATGAGATAGTTGTAAAGTCCACTGTTCCACTGAGCAAGTATGATCTATGGAATGCCTGAAGCAAAAGGGCAACATCTATGTCTAACCAGTTAAACTATTAGTAGTGCCATTGGTGTCTTTCTAATAAGAATGTGTGTTAATTATGCATAGACCCGACCCTATCCATTGAACTTAATCAGCATAGACAAATAAGAATGTACTTTACAAACAGGTGGCCCTGGATTTGAATTAGAATACATTGAGTATATAACCTTGTCAAATTACTTAACTTTTCTGAGCCTCAGCTTTCTCATCTGTAACATGGATACCATCTCTAATGCTTGTGGTGTGGGGAAAAAAAAATCCTACCCATAAAGTGCCTGTCACACAATAAGTGTTATTTCAGTATAGTAGGATCTTAACTATTAATGGTATTTGCTTTTAATATTTCTGTTAATTATGTTTTCCATAGTAATGTTTATTATACAGGTGTTCCACTGTACTTAATATCTGTTTTGGTTTGTTTGTTTTTGAGACAGAGTCCTCACTCTGTCACCCAGGCTGGAGTGCAGTAGCGCGACCTCGGCTCACTGCAACCTCTGCCTCCCAGGTTTAAGTGATTATCCTGCCTCAGCCTCCCAAGTAGTTGGGATTACAGGTGCCCACCACCATGCCTGGCTAATTTTGTATTTTTAGTAGAGACAGGGTTTTGCCATGTTGGCCAGGCTGGTCTCGAACTCCTGACCTCAGGTGATCTGCCTGCTTCAGCCTCCCAAAGTGCTGGGATGGCAGTCGTGAGCCACCACCAAGCCCAGCCTTAATATCTATTTTATTTTACTTTTATTTTTATTTTCTTTGGTGCCATGACTCAGATACGCTTAATATCTATTTTAAAAGGTATTCATTTATCACGATTAGAAGACCTCTGAAGTTACCTTTTTTTCCCATGCCTAAAAGATGTCAACAATGCTAACTTCTAGAAATCAAATATTCACTGATATCATTCTCAGACTTTTGGCTAAGACCAAGTAAATATTCTTGGATTAGACCAAGTAAATATTCATGGATTTCAGTCATATTAATAGCTAACATTGGCTGGCATAGTGGATCACCTCCGTAATCCCAGCATTTTAGGAGGCAGAGTTAGATGGATTGCTTGAGCCCAGGAGTTTAAGACCAGCCTGGGCAACCTGGTAAAATCCCGTCTCTACAAAAAAATACAAAAAAATTAGCCAGGTGTAGTGGCACACACCTGTAGTCCTATCTACTTGGGAGGCTGAGATGGGAGGATAACCTAAGTCTGGGGAAGTCGAGGCTGCAGTGAGCTGTGATCACACCACTGCACTTCAGCCTAGGTGACAGAGGGAGACCCTGTCTCAAAAAAACCCCACAACTGAATAGCTAACATTTAAGTTAAGTACTTGTATGCACACACTGTGCTAGTGAAATAGGCATCATTATCTATAGCTATAAAAATTCAGGCACCAATTTGTCCCTGATACCATGTGATGCTTTGCTCCAATTCTTGTATTCGAAGTCGGTTGTAAGAAATTACCTTATTTAGCCGGGCGCGGTGGCTCAAGCCTGTAATCCCAGCACTTTGGGAGGCCGAGGCGGGTGGATCACAAGGTCAAGAGATCGAGACCATCCTGGTCAACATGGTGACCCCGTCTCTACTAAAACTACAAAAAATTAGCTGGGCATGGTGGCACGTGCCTGTAATCCCAGCTACATAGGAGGCTGAGGCAGGAGAATTGCCTGAACCCAGGAGG